CCCAGCCCTCGCCCGGGAGGATACGGACCTGGTGGGTTCCCCGGGGTGGTTGGGAAGGCTGATACGAGTCTTGTGGACGCAGGGGCAGCTCATAGTAGGTTTGCACGGGCACGACTTGGAAGCGGCCGACGTTCACGGGGGGGAAACCCTCTTGGATTGCGGCCTTCTGCCAGTTGACGGCATTTAGCACCCTTTCCTCCTCGTACGACCACGAAGGATGGCTTCTGTTTTCTGCTTTATTGCATTCCAGGAGCTGTGGAAGCGCACCCAGCGCTGAATGCATCAAATTTTCCAGTGCACGGCTACTGTCTTCCAGAGACTTCCCTTTCATGTCGACTGTGAGAGCAAATGACTTCAAATTCATGGGGTCAAGTGATACTTCCAAAGCCCCACATTCAATTAGTTCGTCGCTGAGCTCGCTAAGTTTTTCGAAGTTGCTGTCAAATGTTACACGGAATTTTTTTTGTTCCTTGAGGAGCGATTTAGCCGCCCTGGTGAATTCTTGGTCAGCCAGTTTTTCTGCCTCCAACGCAGCCCTATCCTTCTCAGTCACGTCTGAAATAAATGAAGCGGCATTGCATTTCCCAAACGTTTGTCGACTCCCATGGTAGGAAGGATAGGAGAGAGGGCTATGAACTAGAGGTTGAAAGGCGCAGCCCGTGCTCAAAATACTAGGTGCATGTATTGTGGGATGTGTCGTGGATGAGCGCGTTCAATCATTGCAAGGGTCCTTATGAACAGGAAATAAAACAGCACTTGCCAAAATGAATGGTAGCCCCCGAGTCAAATGAAGACAAAAGATTTAAGCAGCTTGTTCATACAATTTCCTCTACGCCAGGGTCATAATCGGAGTTTGGCTGCCTTGAAATGCTTTTGCGGGTAATACTTAATGTCCCTGAAACCCGACAACAGCGCGACATACCTGGCGAGGAAGATGGCTACTTTCGCATATGTCATCTGCTGTATACCTTATTCAGAAGCATAGAGTATGAGTCTGCAGGTTAATTTTGTGTTTGCGGAATAAAAGCGTAAGCAACGACAATTGTGAGACTGGCATGAGAAGTCGCGAGGGGCTTAGTTGAAGTGTCCAAACCCGTTCTGTATTAGGCAGATTGCAATCCGAATAAAAACCTCGCATTTCGTGGAACAGGAGCCCTAGCCTTGAGGTAAAATTGTGACCTCATTTATCACGGTCTGATAAATATGCCAAGTCTTGGGGAAGCCCCAAAGCTACATGTGGGCCAGAGGTGGGCAAGTCCCTTGATATTTCCGGGTACCCTTCCTAAGGATAAGGGAAAATCACTTTCGTAAACACCAACAATGAAAGGAAGACTGAAGTGTGATGCTCGATGTAAGCCTCATCCTCTCTATCCCTGTTGCTCGTAAGTCTCATTAGAAATAATGCGCGAGCAGGGCAGCGAATGCATAAACCCAAAAATCACGAGTGCTCGGACGATTTTTTAAAAGCGTGGTTACTTTATTATTTTTTGAATGTAGCACCCGCCCTCTTGCGCTTACTTCTCACATGCGAGAATTGGATATGGGAAAAAGAAGGATATCCGTGGCGCCTGCGTCGTGGAGCTGGTCCATTTTGACGTTAGACTCCTTCCGTCTCACCAACGCCTGCACCGCCACCCATCCGTCTTCTTCAAGGGTGCTCACGGTCGGGGAACGCTTTCCCGGAGTGATCGCCAGCGTCTTGCCCAGACTTTCTCGGCGCACATTATAGGAAATCATCATGTACTGTGTGGCCGTGATGTAGCCCTCGATTCTTTTCAAAATCAGGGCAATCAAATCTTGGTGGCTGGAGTTTGGATTGGCGATGAGGACAGCCTGGGAAACCATTACCTCAGCCACCACATCCAGGCCAGCGGCTCTCATCGTCGTGCCTGTCTCCACCAGGTCGACCACAGCGTCGGCCAGGCCGAGCCCGCACGCTGCCTCCACCGAACCTGAGACTGTGCGAACCTCTGTCAGGGGGTTCGAAGGATGGTGAGAGAAGGGCCGTCAACTTCGAGCAGAGGGTTAACAACAAGAAAGGTTGTCCACTTTCGTGATCACGTGGCCTTCGCTTCCACCCCAGTGCCACCCTTGATCATTCTTGCTATGTACATGCCCCTCCGTGTAACGTACTTGTGTGACGGCCAGTCTCGGCGTCCAGCTTGTCGAAGAAAGCCCTCGTCAATGCCGGGAAAGAAGTAACTATGCGACAGCCAGAGAGTTCCTTGGCGTTCGAAATCTTGTCTTTTACGGGCGCTTGCAAGGATAGCGAGCATTTCCCAAAACCCAACTCCAGCAGCTCCGTGATGTGCGCGTCGGGTGACTCCGAGAGGGTCTCTTGCAGTATGTCTTGTCCTGTTATGCCCATGTCCACATTTCCTTCTCCCACATAAGCTGCGATGTCAGCTGCAGGAAGAAAAACAAGAGTCACGGGCAGACCTGTGCAAACGGCCACGTCCACGCGGTCCGGCCGCCGATATTCGAGGCCGGCACCATCCAAGAGCTTGGAAACCTTCTCATTTAATCGTCCTTTCTTGGGAACGCCGATGAGAATATTGGCCGGCTTCAGCGTACCGGCATTTGAAGTCAACGACTGTTAATTTTTGGGATGGTTGTGAATGTGAATTTCACAACAAGGTTGTTTTGCATCTCCCGCCGCATTTCCAGCTCGCCTCTAGGGGGCACACGAGCTAAAGCACGGTGTAGGTACGCCTACAGCCAGACATACATTCGAATGCTTTTCATTACATCGTTTATGAACGAGGTGGCAGGAGAACGGTCTATTCAAATCCAAAATGCTTCGGGTCGTCCTGGTGGTTCTACCTCCCCGACTTATCGGCTCAGGCTTACCATGTCAAAATGGTCCTCGTACACAATCTTAGCGCAAAGCGGATCTAATTATTAATGGCAGTCGGCCGTGCTTTCGTGTAAGAGACGATCCTTGGGCTATGTGTGTCTGTAAAAGGGGGAGGAAACTGCTTAAATATGAGCAGCTCGATAAAGGTGGGCGTGAGTTGAGGGGCTGGAAGGCCATCTCAATATCGTGTCCACTCGGATGAGTCCTGGATGTCAGGACTGCCCCGTGGGCGAGGAGCACCAGCAGGTCATGCCAAGATGATCAGCTTCACGTCCATGAAAAATTCTGGACAAAAGATGGCCTTAAACCCTGTGTGCATTGGCACACTACGGAGGGCTCGGCGCGGCGGGATCGATCGGCTGCCAGCGGTAGGGCGTGATACCATCATATCGCTCGACAGCAGTTCTCCCTGGCCGCGCTCTCCCGTCACTTCCATGGGGGTGAAGAGCATTGGCCGTGCAACTGTGTGTTGCTCACATTCTTGCCCTTTCGCGCCGCTCGTCCCTCTTAATCTGTCCAGTCGCACGATATCGTTCAAATTGCGAATTCCGTCGTCTCTTGTCTACCTCCCCGATTTCAGATGGAAACCAGCCCTGGGGGTGCCAGTGCTGTTTTCCCTCCACTCTCATCTACACTTGAGGAAAGTGGACCTGAAAATGTTACAGGTGGGGAGTCGATTCTACCTCCTACGTCATGCCCCCCCGTGTTGCCGCCACATGGAAGTTTTCCTTCCTCAGGCCAAGCATCCTCCCACTCCTCTTCGACCACACTTCCACATCGCTGCGTCCTGGAGGACTTTACAAGGTGCAGCGAAAGTCACCTGTGGAAGCTCATGATGTCTTTCTACGATCGAAAAGGTGTCGAATCTTGGTCGCAGGGGATCGTGCCACACTTCATTACATGTAACGCTTTTATCGGGAGGGCGTACGCCCAAGTCTTTCAAGGTTACTTGCGAGACTGTGCCAAGAAGGCTCGTGAAAATGGACCCGTATGTTCGGCATTGGATCCTTCAGAACCATTGTATATTATAGAGCTGGGCGCTGGCTCCGGAAAATTCAGCTTTTTTATGCTCAAAGCCCTGGAAGAGATGCGGGAGCTGCTGGATTTTCCCTTCGAGAAAATTGTGTACGTCATGACGGACTTCACCAAGAACCATTTCAACTTCTGGGAGACGCATCCTGGACTGCACAAGTATATAGCGCAAGGCTCGCTGGACCTGGCCATCTTCGACGCGGTGCACGACTCCGTGATACGCCTCAGCCACGCGGGCACTGTCTTGGCCCCGGGCTCAGTCAAGAATCCCATGTGTCTGATCGCAAACTACTTGTTCGACACGCTTTGCCACGACGTCTTCCAGGTTGACGGTGGCGTACTCAAAGAGGGGTTGATATCGGTGGGGTCCAAGCAGGCGCAGGAGCCAGACCCCCTGGATCCCGAGATCATCAAACGTTTCCACAACCTCTTCCAGTACCAGCCCGTGACTCCGGACTACTACGCGCACACGCACCAACCGGCCCACCGTCCGGGACATGCCCCAATGGGCTCTCCCCCATCCTCGAGCGAGCCCTTGAGCGCTGGGACGAACGGGTCCTCGGACCGGGAAGACTCTCTGCACCTGGGCCGGATCCTACACTGGTACCGCGATTACTTCGGGCGTAGCAGTACGGGCGGGTCCTTCCTCTTTCCCATCGGGGCCCTCCGCGCCCTCCGGCGCCTCCTCGCCTTCAGCAATGACAGGGGCTTGGTCATTTCGGGCGACAAGGGCAGCAACCAGGCGGAGCAGTTCCGAGGCCTGGTCGACCCGCACATCGCTGTCCACGGATCCTTCTCGGTCATGGTCAACTACCACGCCATCGGCCTCTACTTCATCAGCCGGGGGGGCTTCGCTCTCCACAATCCCCAGGAAGACGCCTCTTTGAAAGTCTCGGCCTTCGTGCTCAGCGGCCGCGCCGGCCCTCCGGAAAGCCCGTCAGAGGATTCCCCCCCTGAAGCTCACTCGCCCGTGACCACCACCACCTCCTGCCTCGACACCTCCCCGTCATCCTGGGCCGGCCCCAACGCGGAGTCGGAGGGCGAGAAGCGGGTGCGGGCCTTTCCCTGCCTGCGCGCCGCCTTCTCGACCGCCGTGGATCAGTTCGGCCCCAACGATTTCTTCGTCCTGCAGAAGAGCATGAAGGAGGACTCCCCGAACCCCACGCTCAAGGCGATAGTCGCCCTTCTGAAGCTAGGGGACTGGGACCCGGACGTCTTCTACAAGTTTCGCGAGACCATCCTCAATCAAGTCCCCACCGCTGGCCAGAAGCTGCGGAACGACCTGTGCCGAGGCGTGCCCCGGGTGTGGGAGCACCACTACATGCTCGATCGGGACAAGGACATCGCCTTCGAGATCGGCAGATTCTACTACGGAATCCGGGAATACGAACGGGCCTTGGGCTTCTACAGCCTCTCCTCCACCTCGATTGGGGAGCACCACGTGACCTGCCACAATATGGGCCTCTGTCACTACTCTCTGGGCCGCCTCCAGCAGGCGCTTGAGCATTTCGAGCGCTCCCTGGCCCTGAACGCCTCCTACGAGAAGGCCTGGTCGTGGCAGCAGAAAGTCCTGCAGGAGCTGAACCCTTCCCCGTCGCCCTCCCCTGGCCCTGTTGTCCACGAGACTCGATGCTTGGATTTTCCGGAAGTAGGGAATCTGTCCCTGGCAGCGCGGGGGGGGGGAGATCGTCGCCCCTGAGGGTCTGATGGAGAGGCCGCGTAAGGCAAGTTTGCGAAAGTGGGATGGGTCAGGGAGAGAAACGCTCGAGAGTGGTATATTGTAGACCGAAGCCGCCGCGACAAGCGCTACTCGCGATCAAGGGACATGGTCGTTGTGGCACCTAGACTGTCAGGATTGCCAGGCTCACGGGGGCTGGATGGGTGGGGGCTAAGCAAAGGGTGGATAGACGTTGGTGTGGAAATGAAACTACTCCATCTGCTGGTAGAAGCGAAGGACAACAAAGGCAAAGCTGTGTATAAAATGACGACGCCAAGAAATGAGCCACTAGAGACACCCGGAAAGTAAAATGCACAGGGACGAAACGTCCAAGCACGACGGGGGGCGTCAGCTTTTTCGTGCGCTCGTGATTTCCTTCTTCTTAAATCCCAGCATACTCGACAGTATCGAACACCTGCTCTTAGACGTCTCTCGCTTAGCGTTTGACCCACTGATCCTTCTTCCTGGCCTTGGGCTGACCGGATTTTTTGGACTCGACCGCCCGCGAGTCCCGCGTAAACAGACTCTCCTTGGCCAAAGGGGGCCGGTGCGCCGGGTCCCATACTTCGAGGGCTCGCGATATCCCCAACGAAATGGCGCCTACCTGCCCGGTGGTGCCCCCCCCCTTCACAGTGCACTTGACGTCGAATTGGCCGACGCTCTCCGTCACCACGAACGGCTCAATCAGCTTGTCCCTGTACGCCGTCCGCCCAAAGTATTCATGGACTTCTTTCCCATTCACCACGATTCGACCGTCTCCCGCTAGAAGCCACACACGAGCCACACTTGTCTTGCGCCTCCCTGTTGCGTAGGCCCTATTTAGACTATCCAAGCGTGGATTTAGAGGCGGGGGGGATGCGTGGGCATCATTGACTGCAGCAGATGGATCATCGCCTTCTGCTGCCAGAGGCGTCGATGTGGAGAAGCGACGAGCGCATGCCATCGTCGCCGTACCTGTGTTCGTCTATACCGGGAAAAGCAGGGTGTAGTAAAAAACAAAGATTGTCCAAATAAACCAGACCCAGACATGTGCGTACCCTTTCCGCCATACCACTTACCACTAAAACCCTTAGGGCGGTACTCCTAGAAATGCTCGACAGCTTAGAAACGTTGGAATGTACCGTCGGTAGCATGTTTAATCTGTTCTGAGTCGAGCAAAGAGGCATACGGGAGAGGGAACGAATGAGCCCTAACACACTTACAAAGACACTGCGGGTCGAACAAGGGCAAATCTAGACGGCGCACACCAACGGATCTGTGAACGCTCGTGCCAACCCAAAGAATTGGTTTCCAAAATAAATCATGAAAGGCAACGGGGTGCTGTCCAAAGGCAATGACATTTCAGCACCAATCCCTTCGCCTGCCTGGCTAGTCAACGGGACAAGAGCGGCCGCACGCCCGAACGTGAGAGAAAGCCGGCATTCCCGGACGCCGGCGCGCGCGGTTCGTATCCTCTTTGGCGCGTGTTGAAATTTGTTTTCCCTCCAACATTGAGTTCACTCCACGTCAAGGTCGTCTGCTTGATAACATGTGTACAAGGCCCTCGGACGGCGAGCAGGGTCCCGGCGTTGGCGTTAGCGAGCTTTGTCTGTCAAACCCAACGCCTTCCGAGGCGCTGGACGCGTAGACCATCCGCCCTGGAAACAGCGGTGACCAAACCATCTTTTCCCTGACTACTCTCTCGCACCATGCCTGTCCTTTGATGCGAGAGCAGGAGGCGGTCGCTTCTGTCGTTGCTCTCCAGGCATTGCCCTGTGCCTGTCATATCGACTTGTTTACGAACGCGATCATCAAGCGACATGAAGGCCGCGGAGCATGAGGAGGGTGCGGACACTTGAACTGATCGCTTCCTTTCCCCAAACCAATCGTTCTCACTGACAGAAGACGCCGAGCGACTTTGGCAATTTGGGGTCGGCAGGGAGAGGCACCGCGCAGATGGGGAAGGCCTCGTCCTCGACCTAGGTTCAAGTCATTATCCGGAGCAGCTAGCACGCGTACAGGAGAGATTTGGGGGGAAAGACGGACCCTATTATCGCCCGATTGTTTCATTGTGGGCCAAGAGTTTGAGGAAGAAGCTGGACAATATGTCTGGCTCCGCCGTGCCCGAAATAAACCAGGCGGCCACGACCGAGCAGACAAGAGCCACGGCAGGCGCCCCAGCCGGCCTGACGAAGGACGGGGATGCGATCAAGCTTTTCGTCGGGCAGATCCCAAAGGACATGGGGGAGGATGCGCTCCGACCATTTTTTGCTGAGTACGGACCCATCTTCGAATTGACAGTGATACGTGATAAGACGAGCGGCATGCATCGTGGCTGTGCGTTCCTCACGTACTGCACGAAGGAGGCCGCACAAGCCGCCTCGCTGGCTTTACACAATAAGTTGAAGCTTCCGGATGCTCAAAATGCTCTTCAGGTGAGTGAATTTGGAGAGGACACTAGAGGACAATCTGTTTCGGCGGGTGTATCTGTATATTAGCAGTGGGAAACTGAGCTTCGTTTGCTCCTCACCCCAAAAGGCTGCAATTCCGTCTTTGAAGTATTTTGTTTTGTGACTTCCCTTGTTGTTTTCTCCGAAGTCTATCGATAATCACGTCCCTGCACGATCGCCTAGGTTCGCCCCGCGGACCTGCACACGGAGAGGGAGAACAAGCTATTCGTAGGCATGCTGCCCAAGAATGTGGACGAGGGCCTTGTGGAGGGCCTTTTCGCGCCGTTCGGAAAGATAAAAGAGATCCACATTATTCGTTCCGTCGAGGTAGTAGTAGGCAAGGATGGGGAATGCGCCGGGAAGAAGGGGTGGCGAAGCTGTGTCCTCAGCGTGCCTCTTGGAGTCGGCGATGCATCTCTTACATTCATTTCCCCTCCCTCGGTTGCTGTACACAGGGCGAGGGCAAAGGATGCGCTTTTTTGAAATTCGTGGAGAGATCCTCGGCGATCCAGGCCATCGAGGCCTTGAACGAGAGACAGGTGGTGGAGGGAGCCTCCCGGCCCATGGTTGTCAGATTCGCAGAGTCGAAGCGTTCGGGGGAGGGGGGTCAAGGAGTGGGAGTAGGTGGCGGAAGATGCCGACGGGGAGGGAGCGAAGGCGGGCGGGGAAGCGGCCCGGGTGGCCCCATGGAAGGCTTGCTGATGGCACCGATGATGATGGTGCCGGGGCCTCTGGGTCACTCGCTGCACCCGCCCAACCTGCCCTTGAGAGGGGGGAGCGAGGGGGGAGCGGCAGGCGGCGGCTTGGGGGTGGCGGGCTTGAGTCCAACGGGG